TAGTATCCCCAAATAAAATACTCAGTTGAGTTGGACTTGGCCTGGGTCTCCTCCGCCTGTTCAGGCGTTGCCACTTTGCCGGTGCCAATGGCCCACACTGGCCTCAGTAGCGGCCAAAATTATCTAGTAATAGTGATAGTATTAATAATAATCGTAGTAATAGTAATAATCATAATATTAGTAATAGAAATAGTGGTAATAGTAATAGTATGAGTAATGGTTATAGTAGTAGTACTTCGAACATGCCCACCCTTGCTTTGTCGTGGTTGCTGGCATCATTGCATCGGCAATGAAATTCTAAAACGCCAGCCTGCAGACATGACAACTATACCTTGCAGGCGCTGCCGTTGGCGTGGTGGGGTGGCTTGTGCGAGGCGTCCATTTTCAATACTGACAGTGCGGGGATACCCCGAAGTTGGGCACTGCCGCAAGAGATTGCGAGACTGCAGGGAATCTCTGGAGCATTTCAGGGTGGGCACAGCAGGGAGACGGTGGTTGCGCGCTGCGGGCAGCGAGTTTTTCTGGTTGGGGAAGGCGGGGAGTCTCTGGACTTGAGAAGTTGTGAATAGTGTTCAGGGCTTGAGCGATGCAAGCTTTGGGCCACTGCGGGGATACTCTGCGACTCGGCACTGCAAGGATACTTTGCGGTTGGGGATGCGGTTGGGCACTGTGGCCCTGCAGGGATACTCTGTGGTTGGTCACTGCTGGGATAGTCTGCTGTTGGGCATGCCAGGGATACAGTACTGACCACTCTGCGTTTGGGCAATTCACGGAGCAGGAATTGCGGGAATCTATGAAGCTTATCCTCTTTCGCAGCAGATTCACAAGCAGCCTCTTAAACTCTGGGCGCAAGGCTCGTAGGCAATCACGATCTTGTCCCAATCCTTCAGCACTGAACTTCATAACAGCTACTTGTAATTAACTGCTACGTAGGTTCAAGTCGGGATTTAAAGCTATGGGGTATAAACCCCGTTATAAATAGTTACTAAGCCGCATGAGCTTGCAAGCATAAGAAGTCGCGTTCCCCTAAATAACAATGAGGGCCCCAGCAGTGAACCCAATATATGATCGTCCTTAATCTCGGTAACCCCAATAAGGGGCCCCAAATTCTTGGAGGCCCCCTAAAATCTTCGCACTTTTCTTCGACCCGCTGAGACCCATGCA